GCTGCGTCGAGGGGTGTATGATACAAGTAATGCTATCAGGTGGTTCCCTGAGGCTATTACACGCAGGCGTGACCAATTATGACTTTAATTGCAGCACCTCATGACCCGCTATTCTGTTAGATTTAACGGAACGCCATCCGGTGGGCACAGCAAAGTGTGTTTGTTGTGTATTCACCATAATATTATTAGATAAGGTAGCATGTGTGTTGCTAGATACAGCATACGAATAGTCAAGCTCATCTTAAGTCAGGCGTGGTTTGCTACTTTCTTAAGCACGCAAATTAGGGGACCATTCATAGTGAAAACAATTTCCAAGAGATCGTCGATCGTTTCTGCTATGTATATAGCCGTGTTAGCGTTTGGACTGGGTCATGTCGTCCCATGCCATACCGAGAGACATGTTAGCTCGCCAGACAGAAATAGGCAATCAGGAACTTCAGCGTTTTGTATGAATGCTATGCTACAGGATTTACAGCATCAGCTTGGCGCGGTTTTAAAATAAATTTTGCAGCAAACTGTCTATTGGTTGCTTAAATTCTTGTTCAAATCTCATCACATTGTGAAATACCTTAAATGAACCTAAAACCCCACTATGAACTGACCGCAATGGCAAAGACTATGGAGGTAGCAGAAGTTCGCCGATCTCCACAAGATACGGACGCCGGTCTTACCGCATGCCACTTTTTCCGAGCAAATAATGAGATGGGACTATTAAAGGCAGTAAACCTGTGGTCTAATTTTACATCATCGCGACGTGGCTGACGTGATTACCATCTCAAAACAGGCGTCTTACGCTTAAAGCCCATTAAATGTTAAGCAAAACCTCCCTAATAAAACGCAACGTCTTTCCTCTTTTGTCTCATCAATCAGCCCGTCCTAATTATGTAGAACATGGCTTTACAAACGCCTAAGAGAATACACGAGCCCCACTAAGGTTACGTCCGTCGCGCTTTGTCACCTCGCATCGTTGCACATGCAAGTCAATGGTTAATCTCGTAATGTAGATAGCAGAACGGCATTGAAGAACACGGCTGAACACGTGACGTAGCCTTGCCAACGCCAAAAACGTAATGTGGCTGTTGATCCCTAAAGGCTGGTCCGTATACAGCCATAAATCTCTCAAACAACGTCGTAATGCTGCTGCAATCAGTGATGATGCCATCCACGGCATGACACTACATTTGTCACGAGTGTGTCAGAATCGCTTAAAAAGCGTCATGGAGTCCGAAATGTCCTCGCTAAAGCCCCCATGGAGACCGGACTCGGCGGCAAAACCAATACATACATGAGTGGAAAGCCGAGAGAACCAGCAGACTGCAAAACTGAGAACCCCCAATGGCCCGTCTAAGATGTCATTTTTCACCCAAAATCTTGAAGTTTGTCGCCCTGTTTGACGCGACAGCTCAACGCTAGTCCGAGCAGGCCGAGACGCTGCGAGGTCTGAGGCGATACGACTGAAACACCGCAGCCTGGTGAGACCTCTCCGCCCAGTGAAGGCAGCAGTGCAGAGTCAGCTGGCTGCTTGCCAGTGCCGCTTCCCATGGCGCTTATAACACCAGCACCGGCTAGGGCGACGGCTGTGGGAAGTCACGACGGTTGAGGTGGGATTTCACAAACTCAGCTTGGATGAAGTGGAGCTTTGTACAAGAGCAATAAACCTGTTTACTCCAATTGTCGGTTTGTCGCCGGCTTTGGACAATTATGTTTGGTCTCTGAAGACAATTGGTCAATATTGGCCGCTAGTTTTTGTCTGCACATATAGATACCAATCTAATTGGTGGTCTGTTAGGAAGAAGACTTTGGAAACACGAAATAATTTTTCCATTTAGTTTGCATAATGCTGCTTGTTATTTCTATGAGCGTGATGCTTAAGTTGAGTGGGCTCGCTGTAACGTTAAAAAGGCTTAGTTATAAGCTGGAGGCTCGAAATCTCTTCACTTAGCATATAGGCCCTGTGTTTTTTCCTGCGCATGCAAGCTTAGCTAATCTCAGGCATGGATGGTCTTATCAACCAAGGTGAAGCTAAGAGTAAGACATCCGGTCATGGCTCCCAGGCAGATACAGAGTAGGAGCCCAGGCAACTACCGGTGGTGACCCCATATTTTCGCGCCCATCACTTGCGTGAGGCAAACCGCTGGCGCGCGATGGCTGGTCGGTTGGTGCTTTCGGAATTAAAACATGTGCAATAGGGATGCGAGGATTTGATCTCGCTTTACCAGAAGCCGATGGCGTCCAGTGCCCACTGCGCCCAAACATGCATCGTTTACCTGCATGTGCAGGTGCACACCGGGGGCTTGCAGGCTAGAGGTGGAGTCGGATGACATCATGCGCAACAAATCTGCTGGCTGTTGGGGGCGCACCGGCGACTCGCAAACGACAGCTCGTGACAAGCCAACCAACGTGAGCTGTATATGCCCACAAAGCCAGTCAGAACCAGTTTGTGGAGAAGGTGCGCGGGAAATTGCACGAATATTGTGTGGCAAAACCAGGCGAATACCTGTCGAAATGTCACAAGCAGTATGAAAAACCAAACCTGAGCTTAGACGCTGGACGTCAAAAGTTTTTGGTGTGCTTGTTAAACATTAAATTTGGTTGCTAGCATTTACGTTCGATATGTTTTGCAAACCTGCGAGCTTGGACCCGATTGCCGCGAAATTACCTAGTACCTAGTGTTAACCTCCAGTCTTAGACGCTATATTCTCTTTTCCCCATCCTTGGCTACGTCCCGAACATTTCCTTGAACATGTTTTCTTAAATATTGTCCGTAATAGTCATCTGCATTGCCGGTCAGGTCATTAACGGAGGCTAGGTTGAAATAAATACACTGCGTATCTCACTTCATATCCAGTTCCGAAAGAGGCATCGGAATCGAAAGCTATAAAGTATATTACGAATGTGCCTGATAGGCGATGATGCAGAAAATACAGACTCAGTCACTTGGGAGCAAAACTTTGAAGTTGGCTACTGCCAGTCTGGTCAGCAACTGCCGGAATACTCCTTTTAAATCAACCCACTACAAGTTGTAAGACCGTGAAATGCTTTAAGACCAAGCAAAACCAGTAAATGTTCACGTAACACATAACGGGAGACATTTGGAATGCCTAGTCAAAACTATCCATACCTAACCAAGTTATGAGGGCTTTGTATCTTAGACTTTAACCTCAAACCAAGCTTCCGCATTTCCGCGAACGGGTGACATCTGCAATGCTCACCAAAACTGTCCAGTACCAAATCAAGTTACGAGCGCCCTGATTTTTAGACTTCAACGTCATTCTAATCTCCACCAACGCAGTGACTTGCTTTGAACTTCACCTTCCCCGTCACCCCGAGTGCAACACGAATAGCAATAAACATATACTCAAGATTTCGCATCGCTCCACTCCATTTTTTTTGTTGTTGTTTTCATTTTTGTGAAGGCTAGACCGTTTTTTTCACCGCCCTTCGTTTTCTCTTTATTTAGAATTATATTTAGCTCGTCCCCATGCCCCGGAAACTTTTAAGAAGGGTTTTTGCAACAATTCATTTAATATGAAGCATGGCAAGGTCGCTTGATCGCATCTTCAATTTGACTGTGTAAAACTGGAGATAACCTAAGTTACTTTATGTGAAAAGACTGCCCAATTTATGCAAAACACGTTAGGCCTTAGTCGCCCCTAAAATGCAGCTCGAGCCATGTCGGGTTTCTTTAAAGGATCGCCTATCAGCAATCTTTGTTTTTGAAGTATCATTCATCTTGCATTCATGACCATTTGCATACATAATGAGTCCATATCCTGCGAAAACATGACGTACGTTCTGCTGTAAAACGCGCATCTGCTAACGTTATATCACAATTGGATCCGTTCATGTAATATGCGAGCAACGCTGCGTCATAAAACCCGGTTCATCGGTAAGTTTTTTTCCCTTTATTTGTCATTTATCTCACAGTTCAGGACATCCATGACACGCACTCTTATACATATGACCACGCGACCACTATGTGCTCCCCCCCCCCCCCCCCGACGCCCAATCAAGGGTTTTTGGAACACCGGCTAAGTAAGCAGTATATTTAGCTCTTCCAAATATTAAACGCATGAGTGAAAACTATGATGTTTTGAAGCTGCCAAAATTGGCAGCATGACAAAATCGTGAGCAATCCAAGCATTTCACCAAGTGAATGGTCGGGAGGGGATGGGAGGCAGCCACAGTAGATGCTACCAAATAAAACTGTTCTCAAATAAATGGCCTATTTTTGGAGCCGTTCTCGCCACTCAGTCACTTGTGGCCATTCTCGGTCTTTTGGCCACCATCCGCCCGTTTTAGGATAACCGTTTTCAGACGTCAGAGAAACAGTCGTCAGCGGCAGCCAAGTTCCATAGATAAGCACCTTCGGTCTCAGGCTTCAAGGTGCATGTACCATGATACGCGGGCCACGTTAAGAAAGCGGAGTCCTCGTCACAGCATACGTAAATCTTTGCGCTGTGATTCGAGAGTGGCTTTAGATTTGCACCGTCCCGTTTGAGTCACCAGAGTTAGCTTTTTTGGCTCTAACTGTCATTGGATCGCAATGACATTTGCGTCACACAAAAGATAGTGTGGGCTTTATGAAGTGAAAGATTCTGATAACACCTTCTTTTCTGCTAACTGAGTGTGAATATTTATGACAGGTTCACCATCTGTTATCAGACATCATGCTAAATGAGGACTTTATCTATACACATACTGCTACATTCAAATGCATACATGCGTCGTTACAAACAAGAGATACAAATGACCAATGGCCGAACCGTGCGCGTAATGCCCTGATAATATTCTGCGTAATCAAATACACAGACTTTGCACACCTGCTTAATATCACCCTCATCCTACATCACCGACTTATTTTTTTATTCTGGCTTATTTCTGCGGGAACTGTTATGAGCAATAACAACGCTGACCCCTGGCGGCCGGCGGTGAACGAGGCGCCCCCGTCGGCAGCCAGGGGTCATAACAAGCTTATGGAGTCGGTCACAAGGACGTCGTCAGTGCGCACCCTCGGCCGCAGCCCGATACTGCGGGTACCGGTACACCGGGTACGGCAGCGGCCGCTGGTACAGGACCGGTCGCGGGCGCTGCTGAACATGCGCAGCGGGACTGTGCACGGCCGCGTACGGGACGGCGGCGTAGGGGACGAGGGCGCCGTACGGCAGCACGGCCGAGAGCTGGGGCACGTGCGGACGGAAGTAGGGCCTCACAGAGTCGACGGTGGCGCCACCTGCGGCCTTCACGACCACGCCGTCGGCCGCGGCGGTGGCGCCATCGGCGGCCTCCAGGACCACCCCGTCGGCTGCGGCAGTGGCGCCACCTGTGGCGGCTAGCGTCGCCTGGGGCTGCTGCTCCGGCTGAGCCTGACCCTGAGACTGGGCCTCCAATTCAGGTGCGGCCACCGGCCGGGGCACCGGCAGCACACCGCCCTCCGGTGTGGGCTTCATCTCCTCCTCATCCTCCTCCTCCTCCTCCTCCTCCTCTGCTGCGGGCGCGGTCTCCTCCGTCGCCAAGCCGGAGCCCTCGGCCAGTTCGCCCAGCTGCTCCTGCGCCTGCTGCTGGCTCACGACGGCCACGGGCGCCGCCGGGTCCACCACGCGGTACCCGAAGGCGTCGGACACGTACGAGACAAGCACGGGCTCGCCGCCGGCGGGGCGGTAGCCGTACTGGCCGGACACCACGCCCTCCTCGTCGCGCTCCTCGTGCCGGTACAGCACGCCGTCGTCGGAGGCCGAGCGGAAGCCGAACTGGAAGGCGTTCGTGTCGGGGTCGAGCTGCGAGTGCGGCTGCAGCGGTTTGGCGGCCGACAGTGCCACGGCCGGATCCGACTCCAGCTCCACCTCGGCCGGGTCACTGCGAGGCACCGCACCGACCAGTGAGCGGCAGATCCCAGCGACACTTGGGCTGGTGTGCAGCCTGGTGACGGCACGTGTTGACGTGGTGCGGCGTGCTGACGACGCGTGTCGACATGGTGCAGCGTGCCGGCATTGTGTATTACTCTCGCCTTATGCAAAATGGTACGAGCTAATACCAGCTTGTTGCGGGTGGGAGTGCTGTGATTGAATGCATGTTGCGGTACACTGCATACATGTGGTAATCCTCTACACCCGATGCACAAACTGACTCCACGGGTGTGGACTGGTGAACATCGTGCTCCAATTCGGTTGCGAGACTCACGCGATGCGTTCCAGGAGAGTGAGGTCCAGATTAAGCGGCTCCTGCTCCTCCTCTTCGGCCTGGATGTCCTCGAGGATACCGCGCCGCCGCTCCAGCTCGCGCTCGCTGACTGGGACGTACTTCTGGCCCTCGGCCAGCACGCGGTAGCCGTTGGCATCGGCCACGTAGTTGACTGTCTGAAAAGGACGGCGCACGCAGCTCAGCAAGAGAGCAACATAAATTGCAGCAGGGAGGAAGGGAGAGGGGAGGACTTCCACCTCGAGTCTAGTCAATGAAAAAGGTAGGTGCCATCGAACGTCTCATACTGCAAGATTACCGCACTATTTCTCCTTGCCAAGTCCTTCCCAGATCGGTTCAGGCAGCAGCACGGCCGGGTGTCGCCCAATTAACTCTGCGGTCGTAGACGACACCAAACGAGGGTCACCGGGTTCAGGACCGCTGTAAGACCGGTCTGAAGGCTCGGCTCCGAACCGAGACGGGGTCATGGGGCGCACAGTCAGTACGGTGCACGCGAGCCATCCAAGGATGACGGCTGCGGAGACCTCCCTCTGCGAGCAAATCGGCTGAGGCCGACAATCGTGACCCCGGGTGCCAGCGCCGCGACCAAAACATCCGAAAATAACACCTTCTGACACCTGCACTATGAAACCATCTGTAAATAGCAAATGCTATTGCAAGACAGACACAGCAGTCCCGGTGAGCGCGGCATCCAACAGCCAAAAGGAATATCTGACATGATTCAGTGCATTCAATCAAATCGTGCGAGCTGGGGCATCCTGGAGCTCCAATCAGATGAGCAAAAAAGCAAGCACATTCGTCGCAGCGCCTGGTGTGTTCCAACCGCTGGTTGCTGACTGGCAGGTGCCACCGAAAACATTTCGAATTGGTGAGCGCGCACTGCTGGGACCCGCTGACGCGAACATTGGAGGACCAATCAGAGGACAGGACTCGTCTCACCTGGTTGGTGCCGTCGGGCAGCTCGTAGCCGTACTGGCCGAACCGCACCCCGTCCTCCTGTTTGTACTCGTGCTTGAAGTTGTAGCCGCCGTCGTCGCCGAGCCGCCCGGACTGGTAGCCGTGCTGGTACGTGCCTGGGGCGCCGGAGGGTCGTGCGTGGTGAGGTGGACCTACTGGTACGGGCTCGGGGAGGTACGGAGCGGTGCCACGTGTGTACCGCGCGCCAATGGAGGGGCTGACTGGCGAATCTGAGAGGTCACAGGGGAAAATGTGCATGCACACTGCGTAGATGAATGGCAAAGTTTTCACAGGCGCCCAAGCAAGTGAGAAAATTTTCAACGCAACGACTTCACTGCTGGTCTGAGGCAGCGATCAGCTGACATAAGGCGGCGTCACTGCTTAGAAATAATCGGATGTTTTCAAGGACACTGCGTCCCGGTTGTGTTTGGAATCGCTCAAAAGCAAACACGTTCCACTCGAGTGAGTGCACAACAACTGTGCACTCTGGCCACTCGGACCATGTCAATGTTGCGTCTACCAGCACAAAACGAAAACGAGGGCTCAAGTCCATTTCAAAATTGCACGACCTCCAAAAGGGACTTTCTAAGGTAAGAAACTTTCGACTGCTATAGCGCAACCCGAGGATTATCCCTCTCGCCGGATAGATATCATGGACGGAAGTATAAATGGAACATTTTGTGGCCGAGGGTTTAGTGCTCTGAATGCAGTGTCGTACCGTCTTTATTGTCGAACCTGAAGTCGAATCTTTTCTCGGCGCCTATATCCAGCAGGATCACTTCCTTCTCTTTCTCGCTGTCGTCCTCGAAGGAGAAGTTCAAGCCATCCACCTGCGCCCCCTCCCCCCACACGGGGGAGGGGAGCGCAGTGACGGCCAGCGCCAGCAGAACGAAGACCTGTCAACAGAAATGGGATCTGTCACGCACGCCGTGAAACGCTGTCAACACCGTGGAACCCGCCACGTAGGCACTATACCTTTCTCAACACCGGAGACCATGACGCATGACGCATGACCATGACCATGACGCGTATGAACCGTCACCTTTGCAGAGAACACTTCCAATGCCGAAGAACAGTCACACATGCGACAGGACCGCTGCCAGTACGCGGCTGCTGTTTTCTGCATCCCGCGATCCGTCTAACACCCCAGTAATGACGTGCCTGTCACTGCCACCCTGCCTGTTACACTGGCAATGCCCGGGGAGCCGCCGCCGGCCGCAGTAGCCGCCGGTTCCGTGGTCAGGCACCCGCCGCCCGCCGCCACGGGTGCCGCGGACACGAGTACCGCACCGGCGGTAGACCAGGTAGCACCAGCGGTACACTACCGCTCCAGCCACGAACACAACGGACCGCGGAGGGGTAAGGTACCCGTCGTCCGCCGCCACGGGTGCCGCGGACACGAGTACCGCACCGGCGGTAGACCAGGCGGCACCAGCGGTACACTTCCGCTCCAGCCACGAACGCAGCGGACCACGGAGGACCAGATACGCAGCGGGCGGGTTATGTGCACCGGTCCTGCCGACTTGACTTGGTATAGAGCTATTATCCAAATCCCAATATCCCAATCAGGACCAGGCTGGTGGATGGCCACCTCGGTTCCAAGCGCCGAAGATAGGGATTCATGCTGGCAGATGACATAAGTCAACTGTCTGTTCTCGACAGAAGAACCGGTCTCGACGTGCAAACGAAGGCACCACGAAGGTAATAAATCCAAACCCAGACCAAAGGCCGTTGCAGAGCTGGTAGGCAGTCGCTGACCACATAACTTGCGGGTTATCGCCAATGGAATCTTAAGCCGTCTCCAACATTCAGCGCAGGCTATATTACAGATTCACATGCGGAAATGGAAAGAGTTAGGTATCCTACAGGTATTCTCTTAGGTATCCTACACTCCTGTCACGGTGCTCAATCTAAAGGTATAAATGTAATATTGCTACCCACAACATGCAATTCTGTGAGTCGCGCTGAATGAGAGTTGCATGATCTACAGCACTCAGTTTCTAAAGATGCGGCCTCACCAAAGCTAGATTTGAAGATAAGCCTTTTCTCCTTACGCATATGAGCACATCATATGAGCACTACGCCTGATGGGGGATACGAAAACGTACTTCTCACGGGTATGTAGAACTTTAATCGTTATCAAATCTTCCCAGATTCCGACAAAAGAATAAAATTTATAGACCATAATCAATACTACGGCGCAAGTTCCGGCGGCCATCATCTGGATAGAATCATGCCTTCGTGGCTCGTATTATGACCAATTTTGATTAGAAATAATTTGGGCCCAATTGACATACACTCACATGCTAATAGAGGTAGCATGTCGTTTTTATACCTATACCTATATACACACACACACATATATATATATATATATATATATATATATATATATATATATATATACGCTTACCAAAATTTGCATGTGTGTCCCGTCTTTGCATGTCTGAAAGCCATGAATGGTGTCCGCCAGTTGTTGTGTCAATGTCCTGTCATGTTCGTGTCACATTTGCTCCAGAGGTGCCCCGTCGCGTGCGTGCACTGGCAGGCGTCGCGAGCGTGGCGTTATGGTTACACCAGGCAGTGCATGAAACGAAGTTCGCGGCCTTCGAGATTACATTTGAGTTGATGCACTACATTGGTGCACTTGAACTTGTCGGCTCCGCCAAAACTGTGTCTGATAAGAAAATTGAAGACTTTTCCGTTGCAATAATTAATGACTGATTTGCATGACCTTTTTGCCTTGTACGTTTCGGGAGATACTTGCGACGTACATAACGTACTAATTTATGTCATATCATATTTTATTGTGTCATATCATATTATATTATATGTATATACACTCCAATGCATTATACATTATGCATACTATCATATCATAACGCATCTAAGCGGACGCAGCCATGTACACATTTGAAGCTTCGAACCCCTTCGAATGTATTCAAGCCTCCAGACCTCATTCCACCTATGCTAGGAGTTGAATCTCAAAGTGTGGCGAATCCTCGGCTCTAGTGAGAGTGCAGAGCAGCCCCGGCAGTCGCGGACACGGGTGTAAATCAGCCGCGCCCGCTCACCCATCCAAAGTCGACGGGTGCAGGCGGGGCGTCGCCTCCCGACCCGCCAGCAATGCATGCTAATGACCCTCCTGCACCGCCGCCGGCCAGTACCCTTCAACCCGGGGTGGCAGCTCGGTAAGGGTGAAAACCGCGTTCGCGGTTCATTTATACGGGGACACCAAACTAATCATCATCAGAGATCAGCGTCGCTATTATTATGTCAAAAACGTTCAAAATTTATGCTACGTGCTTTTCTAAATTGAGTACACGCTGTACTTCAATACTGACCAAACATTAAACGAGTAGTTATTTTTTTACACATCTACATCTAAAACATTGTCTCAAGCAGTGTCAAGAAAATATGATTAAATTGTCTGACAAGCACACTTGGCCACAAAACCCATTTATTGATTCAAAGCCCCGTATACCTAATGGGATGCCAGCGAGGTGCAGCAGAAGTGAGCAGTGGAGCCCCCACACGGCCCTCGATCGGCGCTCTTCCGGGGTGGATGACGGCGTCGGACGATGACCTCCAGATTATGGAGCGCCGCCAGATTCCCAGCGATAATGGAGCGTGTCGGACTCCCAACGAGACGAGAAACGGAGCGATGACCGAACACATTTTATCGCCTGTCGTCCATCAATCAGCGGATCCCGCTGGTCCCTGCTGTTTAAACAGCCCGGCCGTACGGCTCGTCCTGCCCGGCTGCCGACAGGTGAGGATGCACCGAACGTCATCGACCGGCAGTGCCGCGGCGCGGACCTCAAGTGGCGGAGCTGTGAGGTTGGGCATCGCCTGAGCGAGGGTGTCGTGGTCCCGCTTACCTGCCCGTGTTGCCTGGCCGCGACTCGTCCGGGTAATGACTACCGCATACGTACCCGCACCAGCACACCGGCACCATCGTGCCTTCCAGTGCACCGCTGCACGAGCTGCGCACGGTCCTTTGGTGGCTTGTCGGCCAGATAACCCTAAATTACAATAACATGAGGAGCATTGAACGAGAACGTAACTACATCGGGATGTCAAATTAAATAAGAATTTCCGCACCTGAATTATATAAAAAGCCGACAACGCAAGTGGCAGTTCGAGAGCCCGGGACTGCGGAACTTGGGCGGGTCTGACCGAACCGTGCGCACCTCGGCGTTCCGCCTGCGGCGGTGCGGGCCGCGCGCCGCTCCGCCCCGCACGAGTCATGGACCCCGAGACAGGTGTTTGACCTTAAAACTCGTCCCTGAGCGCCGGCGGCGTCCGCGCCTCGTGCCGGGACGTGGCCAGACAGGCCGGAGAGCCGGCCAACAAAAACTGCGAGCGAGCAGGGCCAACCCGGAACAAGACGCCACGGCCGAGAGAAACCTGTCCAGGAGGGAACATCAGGTCTGAGGGGGTGGATAGGGGAGCCAATGAGTTAGATGGTAGGATTGGTCATGGAGTAAGCGACTTAATGATTCGTTGCTCGCGATTTTGATTCCACCAACAGCACAGAGCTGGGAAGCGCTACAGTTAAGTGCTCGCGTATTTTTCGCCACTGTGCTGAAACATACCCGGGCTTTATCTCATCAGCCTCATACAACGTTGCGAATAAATCCGGCGTGTATCAAACCAATCTGTTTCGGTTTAAGTGACTGTCACATTGCCAGCTGGCGTCTGTCGCTATCAGCCTTTGAAGACCTATTTGGTTGCTAGGCAGTCGGCTATGGCGGAAGGTGAACCACCGCTGGCGACCTTGGCTGCTGAGAGATGTTCATCTATTATTTTGGTCACGGCTCATGCCGGGACCATGCGCCCAGCTTATCGTTCCACCGTTTCAAATGTACCCAACGACTTCCACATGCGTTGCATCAGTTCCTCGTTTTAAAACGACACCAAGCTTCGTCTGGCGATTGGAATTGTTATGGGTAAATAACAACTTGAGGTCGGCGAACGGGGTGCTGCCAATCATTCACCGAACAACCACATCGGAATCATTTTATATGAATATCAAAAATGGATAATAAAAATGGTTTTGCAGCTAGTGGCTAAGCCTGAAAGATAATGTAAGATCGATTAAAAGTCAGACATAGCGGCCTCCTTTCAGAAGCACCTTGAGGGACGAGCCCATCGAGTGCTGCGCAATTTGCGTCTGTTGTACAGCAGCTGGTCATGAGCATTTGCACATGAGGTAAACATGACAGATATATTCCAGCAAGCATGAAATCTTTCATGGCTTTGAATTTTTATGATGCAGTTGTTCGCCATAGTTGAAGGTGTTCAAAATGTGTCCAACCATCCTGCACAAACACAGATGGTGCCTTAAAAGCACACTTGCATACTTCGCGTCTATTGCTTTAACCTCAGCAATATCTCGTCAAAAACTATCAGCAGCTTAAAATATTCCCATAAGCTAACAAGAAATTGTTGAAACTGCTTGGGACACGAATATTCATCCAACATTTTCAGAAGTAAAAGAAGATTGCTACATAACATGATTTGGTAGCGAAGCTGAGGGAGCATATGAATATTTATATTTGCTGTGCTTTGGAAATATATTTATTATTGTCAGATTAATGTTTCGTATAATTTGAAGTGCCCGTGACGCATTGGCACCCTGGGTATTGCATTCCGGATTGATGACATGCCAGAGCACGAAAGAACGTCATTGTCAAAGGTGGCATTGGGAGCCCATCAAATTCACACCTCATGTATAACTGTAGAAAGTAAAAAGGACATGCACCAGCAGAACTCAATAGCTTGAAACACTTGTAGTGGGGGTAAAGTGCGTTTGCATTTATAACCTTTTCCTTGTTTTGGGCATGCCTAAGCTTTAACATGTGACAATATACAAGTTTGTTCAATTCATTTAATGCCTAGTCGATGTTTTCCAAACTTTTAGAGTGTCATGTCCTTTTTTGCAGCTAATACGCCTTCTTGGAAAAGGACCTGAACTCAACGAAAGGAGGCATGGAGGCAAAGTGGCTTAGTGTTTACAAATGCTAGTAAGGCGTGCTACCGCATAAAACATCTAAAGCACGTAACCTTTCGGATGAATGGAATGGTTCTTGCACATCACACCACCTAGTTCCCTCAACGCAAGCATACGCTCCATCCAATTGCTTCCTCGTTTAGTCAAACCCACCGCAATCTTGGAGACCACAACTTCGCAAGTGGAGCTAACCATAACGGACTTCAATGTACGAACAAGAAAGGAAGCACGTAACACAACTCACAGCTGATGTGTGAAGCGTGTGTACGAAATCGAATAACTTTGCGCTCTTGAAAACAACAAGTAACACAAAAACATCGCGCTGGTTACGTCTCGTCACAGCTCGCCAGTGATAAGAAAACACACACACACACACACACACACACACACACACACACACACACACACACACACACACACACACACACACACACACACACACACACACACACACACACACACACACACACACACACACACACACACACACACACACACACACACACACACACACACACACACACACACACACACACACACACACACACACACACACACACACACACACACACACACACACACACACACACACACACACACACACACACACACACACACACACACACACACACACACGCGCGCGCGCACGCAAACGTACACGCACACGCACGCACACAAGCACATGCACATGCATATGCACATGCACATAGACGTATACACATGCATATATATGCATATATATACATGTATATATATATATATAAATATATATATATATATACATATATATATAAAGGCGAGCCTATTTTCAACCACACCCTAGGAATTTCAGCACATGTTCTGAACCTGTCAAATAAAACATTCCGCCACGTGAGACTAGCCATTTGTTATCAATCGAGATCGTGCTTTGAAGAGACCAGTTGAACTCGCTCAATTAAGTCATACAAGGTCAGCAGTATATTTGTTTCCTAGGCATTTAGACCGCTTCATACTAACACACATATGCGATGTTGGCTCCGGGCTACGAAGTGCTGTGATTGGCACATGCTAGTTGTTAACGTAAAACAGGCAAATGCGGGATCTCGATGGCTTCCCGTTTACGTGTTTCTGCGTAATCGGTAACCCTAGTTAATGTATAACCATGTCAAATATAAATACTGACGTACATTTACGCATAATAAGGTGGCTTTAGTTATTGGTGGGCTACGAGATTCGGGCCTTAAGTTAGCATACTTTGGGTTGGTGGTTATGGATGTGAGTTGGATGGGTGGTCGTGGACGTGAATGAGATGGGTGGTTATGAACGTAAGTTACATGAGTGGTTACGAACGTGAGTTGGATGAGTGGTTATGGACGTTGGTTGGATGGGTGGTTATGGACGTGAGTTAGATGGGTAGCTATAGACTTGCACTCCAAGTGGTGCGGTCCATCAAGTTGAAATGTACGTTCTTATATCAAGCTGCATGACAAGTTTTAAACATCCACGAGACTTCTACTAAAGCTTACGGGCTGCGCCAGGTTGACTAGATGTTTGCGCAAAGATGAATTCACGTTTCACATTGGCTTAGATATCATTACATGTTTATTATTTCTTTATTCTATCATTCTTGACCCTGCCATGACAACGATGTTCATAATACGTATTTCGTGGGGTAATAAATCGGCAATTGCGATTATGAACATGATAGCCCCATTATTAGTCAGGGCACTGATTTGGTACCAACTCCGAAAAAACGAAAAGAGACTATGAAACATAAACATAAACAGAAGCAATAACAATCGGTTGTCGTCAAGTCTTTCTAAATAGCCGGCTATAATTTCGGATTGAGATTCACAAGCTGTTTTGACATACCCGACGACATTCCATGACATTTTCAATTTTTATCATAGCTTCCTGTATTTTAGATTTGATACCAAATTAGGTCCCCACCTAAAAAATTATGACAGCATGAAGCAAACTAACGTGGCTTAACCGTCACAAAAATGAGCTCATCGTTTATACCAATAATATCGCGCATTGTGTATATTCTAATCGCTTCAGCATCTCTACAACTCAAATTGAAATCCTACACAGAAAGGAATACAACTTAAAACACAAAACACAAATAAAAAGGCATCTGTCGGAAACAACCCAAGATCAGCTAAACTGGTGCCATGGAATCAGGACCAAAGTGTAGGTGTTATCACCATGGTGATCAGGCTACCATGCTACTTTGTTTAACACTGTAACCGCAATATCCGCTACATAATAAGCGGCTGAGGCATCCAAACGTCTCATAACAAATATTATGATGACTTTTAGCATTATAAGGCACTTCAGCCGGTTCCACGACGGAATGATGAGCCAAACGGTTTTAAAAGTTTTTGGAAATATTTTATGAAGTGAAGTTTATGCTGAGTACTTAAGCCATGAAATATTTGTTAAGTTTTATGGAGGATGAATAAGTTTTAAAAGTATCTGATCAAGTCACGCTAATGCTAACCACTTGAACAATGAATTGATTGTTTTAATGTAAGTTTTAAGGATATTCAATAGCTAAAACACGTTTATCGAACTAAGAATAAGTTAAGTTAATGATGCGATTTGGAACTTTTTACATACACTTATTTCTTCAATCCATGCCTCTAGTTCACCCAAACTCCGGGATAATGTCAGGCCTGGTAATGAGACTTGTGAATTGGTCGGGGGTGTTGGATGCCGCTCAAGTCATTGTTGTTTACATTGTGGAGCAGGGGGGGGGGGGAGGTATAATTTCGTGTTGGACGCGACCAGGATGGATGTCTTTGTTTTGTTGCGTCGGCGACAGACACGCCACTGAATGTTCTCAAAAAAGTTTCTGCATGTATAGGCATGTCCCTGCTCATAGTCAGCATATCGAAATTGTGTTATCTATACGTCTTGGCAAACCTGTTTCTTTAATAAATATTTTCAAAACATTACAAGCCGAAAACTGCTCACTAAAGATCCTCGCTAGAAATAGTCGCTGAAAACTCTTTGAAAAGCTTTTGAAAGTTTCGCGTTGTGGTCACTCGTGAAAACATATAATTTATATTTACCCTTGTATATAGCAAAGCTTGAATGCTTGAACATATACTGATCAGGTACACGGGTATCATATACACTGATCATATATCATATATCATATATACTGATCGGGTATATCAGGTATACAGATACGCATACATGCACATCGAGCCCATCCAGCGTCACCGCCTCCAAACACGCCGCTAGTATGACCCTGGTGGACGTGCTACGGAGCCCCGCGGAAGGAGAGAACGCAGGCACACTCACCAGCCTCATGGCGTTCCGGAAGACCGGGTAGCACTAACGGCCGTCGTCACCGCACGGGCGCCTTTATGGCGTTCGCCCCAGGCCCAAGCGAAGCTAGTCGGTGGATCCCAGCGGGGTTGGTCGATCGGCCGGGCGACGGGAGGGGAGAGACACCGATCCGCGATGGCTGACGCCTAACCTTCGGGCGTGAACTCAAAGCAGGTGCTCAAATTTGTGGGTCTTACGGAAGGATGGAGGCTCCGGCACAGCAGCTGGGCGGATGGATGACGTGGGAAATAACGGGCAGTTTGTGAGGCGGCTGCCAACCGCGAGCTAAAAACTTGAGCCGATCAGCTGAGGTGAGACTCAGTGATATCATGTTCATAGATGAGGGTTTCGGGATTTTAGTCAAATTCTTATCACACAATATATATGGACTGGCTCCATGTCAAAGCACATTACGAGCAGGCAGAAAATTCTTCCCACGTAGATAAGGGCCATCTAGATATTATAGTGAACAAAAGCGGTTTGTTACTTTGTGTATGCTACGAATCAAGTAAATTTCAGATGAACCCGTAGGAAATGAGCGTGATGAGAGACACCATGGAGCGAGCGGGTCCCGCTGGATCATTTGAGAACATGTGGGAAGAGAGACGCGATTTTTGCCTAGTTAATGTTCACGTAATGTTACATATTTAATGCTCATTTTCAAGGACAAAGCGGTCAAGACTGCTTCAAGGCCTGATAAAATGTCTCCTCCACCCTATCTTCTGTCGTTTATGTAATACCGCGAGACTGACAATAATAAACCCTCGCCAGATGGGCCCAGCTTTACACCATCACTCGACAAGGGAGGGCCTAACAGGCCCCTTACTAACTTTTGAGCCAAGACAATTCAGACATCGAAATAAAGACCAGTGCAGAGTTCGTCATCTAAGCTTTTTAAATGCATCTATTTTCATTGCAAGGTCATAGAAGACCTTCCAGATCATGATAATGGCCTAAAACGAGCCATATCCAAAGTAAAAAAAGTGTTTTCGCCGTTGCCATATCTGGACGTAAAACGCGAAGACGTTCTATAAGCGCCTGCGTGTTCTTTGCTGTCCTTCTGGTCTACGCATGCACAGTTTTTTGGGCCTGGCTCGACTAAATGACATGTCAGGTCACGGAATCGCCACCACAGCTCAAATTTCCATTAGAGTACCTGATATACACTCCCAACACTTGTAGCTGTGATGCTGGACGCAGTTGAGTGACATGAAAAAACTGATGCATTGGTCATCATCTGAGCTGTCCGACTGTCCCGGCCTTCCTTTTGGGTCAATCTATTTACTGTGAGGTTAAGGTAGGATATTGGTACCCAACGTGCTTTGCATTCCTATGCAATGTATATGTTTGCGCTGCGATTATCCTTTTCTCGTGTTCGGGTGTAAAAATTGAGCTCGTTTAAAAACATTAATGTTTTAAAAACAAAAATACAGCCATGAGCGCATTGCTATGTTGTGCCGGGCCGATCAGCTTGAAGTCGAACTGACTTGAGTGTTTTGCCTGAGCGCGCTACTGCGTGTAGCTGGATAGAGAGCGAGAATGTGCGGCCAGTCACGGCGACGTCACTGGGGTGTCTGGTAGGCTGCCAAGCCTAACACTGTGGTTAGTATTCATCTGCCTATGCATCCCAATGGTTTTGCTTTTTTCAGCACACCCTCATGTTTTGAACTGTAGATAGGGCAGGGTGGGGTCAGGATGCACTGTACTTGTTTGGTGACCTTTATATGCGAGATAATGTGATTTCTTACATAAGATATGAGGATGGGTTTTTTTGTTTACTGACATATAACAGCTGTGTTAGATCGGTTCATGTCCCTTGGACTGCGCGTTTATTTCTGTGCGTACCCATGTCGTCCACCGAGCTGTGCTGAGACACGTCGCCGACTTGTGACATAGGGATCATGTTCAGGCCCTAGCCGAAGCGGTAAGTCTAATGTCGATATCACCCGTGGAGTCCGTCCATGTTCATCCTTCGCCACTTCAAAAAGTGTCCGCATACGGTGCTTGACAACCCTAGATGCATGTGAAAAGATGTTTCACGGGACCCAGGTCTCGCCGGCTGAAGGTCCGGGTCCCTCCAGCTGGAGGTCCGGGACTCGCCAACTGGAGACCCGGGTCTCGCCGGCTGAAGGTCCGGGTCCCTCCAGCTGGAGGTCCGGGACTAGCCAGCTGGAGACCCGGGTCTCGCCGCTGAAGGTCCGGGTCCCTCCAGCTGGAGGTCCAGGACTCGCCAGCTGGAGACCCGGGTCTCGCCGGCTGGAGGTCTGGGTCTCTCCAGCTGGAGGTCCAGGACTCGCCAGCTGGAGACCCGGGTCTCGCCGGATGGAGATTTGGGGCTTGCCGGTTGAAGACCCGGAAGTCAAAGGCAGGACACCAGGAATATCCGGTTAAAGATGTGGGACTCGTCGACTAAAAGCGCGGTACTAGCAGGCTGACGTGATGTGGGCGATAGGCTACAGAGCTTACGCATAGAGATGCCATATAGTAGTTAACATGGGACGTAAAGCGCTTCGCAGGTGTCCGTTGAAAGCCACATGGCTTGGGCTTTTTTCGTTTTTTTTTTGTCTGGGCTTTTTATTCTGTATGTTAGAGCTTGGCTAAGAATTTGTGGGAAGAGCCCGAAGAGCTGCGGCCTAGCCGCGACATTTTCTGCTCTGACCGGTCGGGTTGATAACAGCTGATTCCTTCTGCTCAGTCTGCTGCAGATGGGGAAATACTGACCAGCTTGTTTGAACGCTCTGGACATGAGGCTGCTGAATCTTCTGATAGAAAATGGGAAATAAAGGAATGATGGTACGTTGAAGATATACTGCTACGTTAAACTCTTGCGGTTTCTTGGCGTGTTAGAGTTACGATGTCAGAAGTATACCATGCAAAGACGGGCTACAAGAGTCCGAAAATAGCATGGATGCGGTGTTAGGGATGACTTGGTTGAAATTACATGAATAAGGGATCTTGCAGAATATGACACATGAGGAGAAACAAGAAAGAGCGTTTTATTTTTGTTACTCCACACAGTTACGTAAATCTGTTCGGAAGACAATTTATGCGGCTGCGTCTTCTTGTGAGTGAGAAAGTTAAAAACCTTAAAGGACATTTTGGCCTTTGGCCCTTAGCCATTATTTGATCCACATCTGACCATCCAAATGATGAGTTTTCAAAGTCAGGTGATAAAACAAAACATATCGTTTCGGATAACATTAAAAGCGTTGCTAACGCGCGGCTCGATTCTGCCAATAGTTATCTGTTCTTTCCGTATCAAATTTGTCAATCAAACTATATGAAGTGTATCAAGATATTTCAAGCTAGAAGGTTATGCTAACCAAGGTTAGTTAACATCCAGAAGTCACAGGTCAGCGTCACAGGATACAACTAACAGTTCATATTAAGCTTACACATTTGCTTGTTTCTTGAACGGGGCTTCATTGGCTCATCCATTTCCAACACATTTTTGCCAATATTTGACACGCCCTGAGCAAGACGGAGCATTAGACGCATTTTCCACAGTTAGATCATTTCCCTGCCTACATACCACCGAGAATATATAAAAAAACAGGGACATGCCCACAGCAAACGCTCGGGTACATTCGGCAACCAACAGGAAAATTTGGGCTTATAACAGACTTGGTGCACAATTAATGACTGTTATGCCTCTGAACACAAGCTGGGAATTAATATTGCCCAAAAACGCAGAGTGTACAGCATTGGAGTTCACAACCGCTATTCTGAACACAGCGAAGGCCGCCCGCTCACTAAGGCAATGCCAACTAATATGATTGTCATTTTTTACACAATGGCGAACGAAAAACGGAGCCATTCAACAGCAGTGTCGAATATTTACATGCCATTTTTTAAAAAAACTTCCCATAGTCACGTAGCTTGAAATGTTTCTACCTGGAACACGTCTGGGTATCATCGTGTGGGGTAGAGTACATCCGCTTTCCAAAAGATTTTTTCTAACCCAGGAGATTCCCCATTAAAAAAGCATAACCGGCAACGTTTAGATCGTGACCAGCATCGGCAGTTGCGCGGCCGCTGGCCTAAGTGCCATATATATATATATATATATATATATATATATATATATATATATATGCGTGTTTAAGGCATTTTGTAGAACACCGTAACAGCATTGGGCGTTTCAAGCAAAGCTTGTCCAAACCCAGTATAACTTATGTTGTGTGATCATTTCAAATATGATGTTCAATTAAATAATCAGTATCGTTCGTTGTGATTTCGCTTCACGTTAAAGGACTTACAGTTCAGACTTTTTAAGTGTCAGCCGTGTGATTCTCAGCCACTTCAATTGCACGCTTCATTCAGAGGAAGTCCTCATGAAATTTCTGGCACGTCCAAGCATGTACCGGCAGTCTCTGGGGACAACAGTAGTGAGCAGATGGCCATGAGTCCACGGGAGGAATCTCGTTCAAAATCTCGTCTCATGGACACGTGTTTTCATCGGGTGCGCGTGTCGAATAAGCAGACAGACAGTACGTGAACAAGTAGATTGCGGCAAACGACGAAGCTTGTTGGTCGCACCCATACAAATTTTTCGAAGGAGTTTGCTTCCTGTCATCATTGTCTCTAAGTGTGGCTTGTGCAAGCCACGAAATGAATGTCAGCGTCTTTAATAAGTGTCTGGCTTTTCTGTTACTGACATTTTGAATTTTTCTTCTTTTTTTGGTTTAGTCCAAACGTCTTGGAGGGGTAACTGGTTAGACTGCCGTCCAGTTCGACCAGTTCCACATATTATTTTTTTACACCTGTCCGGGTAGCATTTTTCGTGTCATCCTTCGTCTTGTCACGGTCTCGCCGTAGAGCCATGGAGACCCTCTTTCCTCCGCCAACTGGCATCGGACATACCAATCAGCCACTTCTGAGATTCAAATCCAGGTGTCTGCCGCGTCTAGGAGTAGGGCGTCTGAGCCATTCATGCGCATGTGTGGGAACCGGCGTAAGTTCAAATATATTGGGTAATATATGCCCCAATAAATGAGTTGCCCTATGAGGCGAAAGCTCAGTGAATGATGTTGATCAAATGAACAGCAACCGATAAACGACTATCCAAAACAGTCCGTGCCCGGTTTTATTAGCCATTACTTGAAACGTCCCGTGCTGTTGTTACCTTTCATAAAGCACCTAAAGCCGCATATGTATGTCAGGTAAATACCGTAATAATAAAATCTTAGCTCACATGGCGTAATAAAAAAATTTCCCGACGGCTGCATCAAACTGCGGCACCACATACAACGTCTAGTTTTCTTAAAACACCGCGTAACGCTAACCACGTATGACGGACGCACGCATCTCGTTTAAGACAGGCATTATCTTTGTCCTACATACCAAAGAGGATAAATCCCATTATATTGGGTGAGGATAAAATGAATGCCCCGCAAATCAAATCATCTTAGGACAGGCATCGTCAGCTCCCTGAAATTTTATATTGTGCTGTGTTTTGGTGTCAGAACAAAATTGGTGATGATATTGTAGCGGGGGCCCCAGCTGCTTTACGCATAACTGAAAAGTGTTGCCGATCCCCGAACAGGCGACAAAGCAGCTATACGCTCACTTCGCAGTCAGTCATGCGTGTGATGGCCGCCGCTGGCGGACAGCACTCAGGCCAGTGCCGCCGTCGAGCCTCGAGACCGCCAAGAGCGCATAGGAGATGGGCTCGGGTGGAAAATATCCGGAAGGATTTTCATTCTGTGACTAACGGTGTTTTACAGGAGAACCTCTTCTTTTAGTACTTTTGTCATCTTTTTTCAATAGATAGGAATTTAAAGTTTCAGGCTGGTTCTGTCTCAAATTCTGGAACAAGAAGTCATCTTTTGAACAGAAGGTAGTCGGTGAAATGAAGACACAAAAACCAAGTTTTGGAACGCTATGAGACATGAATTCAATTTCGACGTTATGTCCAGCCTGGGCCCAAGCCACTTTTCAGCAAGTTAACTAAACAGGCAAACGTATCTCCAATGACCTAAGATACTTCCCCACTCGTGGAATTTCTCCTTCCCAGGGGAAATGATCCTAAGACACATGAAGAATTGTAGGAAATTATTTAGGCTGTTTCCCGAATGGTTTGGATGAGTCGAGCACTTGAAATTATGCACCAACAGATAATATATGGTATATATATATATATATATATATATATATATATATATATATATATATATATATATATATAGCCGAGCAACCAGGCGAATTACTCATCTTCAAAATGTTTATGACCTAATGTAAATATAGTCGGTCATCCCTACCTGCCTTTTCCGGTCGCCAGGTTTCCGTACCTATCAAAAGTCCTAAAATGCACCGAGCACGGCAACACACTTTTAAAAATGATCTCACGCTTATGGGTTTTGCAATATGATTTTTGAAGCCGGATGAGTAAGACATGTATATTGTTTAGTTCGCTGGACACTTGTGTGTCTGCCGTATTTACCAGCTGTTAATGGTAACGGGCACAGTGAGAGTAAGGAATTATTGCGGTAGAGGCGGGAGCGAGATGGTTACGGACTAGGAGCCTCCCCCCCCCCCCCACACACACACAATGAATCAATGAATAGAAAACTAAATGCCTGCTGTCATAAGTTTCCCTGTTCCGTCTCGGCTGGACATGTTGTCGTTATGCATCATCATTATTTTCTTTGCCGTCGATCCTCGAAACCAGGTTTCGGTAATCGACGTACCGTCGGTGTTGTGTGGCTACAAACGTTGTTGGACGTGTGCCGTTTCGGTACTAAAGAGTGTAACGTTATGTGCACGACTGTAAAAAAACTGCCACGGAAACCACTGCTCGATAGCCGCAGGGCGGGGTACAGGGTGCAGCGCAGCGCTCCGTTAAGCATGTTCGACACGGCCAGTGCTATTTTGGTAGTCATTGCCGGGCCATTGCTGCTATCGGCTTGGTTCGCTCATGTCGATCACCAGGTTTTCATAAATGCTCCATTGAGTATTCGCGTCGAGTAGAGGTAAAGCATTTTGATGGTTCTTCCCGACATAGGCGGTAAATAAATAAACGTTAGAACACTTTGGGATATTCAGGAATAGACAAGGGAACAAAAGGTGGTGCACATGGAATGTCAGGGGACCGGTTATTAAGGAAGTTAGACACTTATTGATTATTGATAGATGTATGAAATATCAAACAAATTGATAACTTGGTCACGCTTTTTCGTTGCTATTGTTCGACTGGTTTGTTTTCATTTTCCGATACGACGTTGTGGCAAAACCAACGCGGTAACATGATGCTACTTACTACGGTCAGTGAAATTGCCGCCGTGAACTAACCGAGGCCAACGAGGCTGAATCGAGGAACTAAAAACGTGCATCATGCAGGAAAAACAGAAAATACCTAGTTAGCACGGCACGAATGCGGGGCTTTAAAGGTGTGACTAGCTCAGGCAGCTACACTAAACTGAACAAGCATTACAGTTTGCACTTCCTTTGTTCCTTTTAACCTAAAATCTTTTTTAGATACCTTCTTTGAAATTTAGATAATTTTGAGCTCCATTTTTTAATGTCTTGGGCGTCCTTATGCTCCTGAAGTTTGGGTGCAAACTCACCATTATAAAACCAATTTAGACATGAAGGAGGGGGGGGGGGAGGCAGAAGCCCACCCAAAGATCGACATCCATAGAGGCAAACGCCGTTGTATGGGACTATAAGAATCGTCTCAAGTGCGTATTGCGTTCTGTGTACATTTTTCTGCATTTACTCAACGCGTCAAAATGCGCTGCATGCGTTCGACCAATTACAGGTCTATTTGGGTTGTGTGGAACAGTTTCCACCTTCAAGAAGTTGTTGAGGGAGGGGGGGGGGAGGCGCGTTCCCCACGTCCCCCACGATGTCACCGCCCCTAGTAGAGGTCATGCTGGGAAACGTAATAGGCTCATCACATGACAACCATCATTTCGAAATCCGGCGAAGGCGTAAGGACATGTGAATGCCCTTATTGTGAAGTGCATACCTTCATAACAGATGCCTTTTAACATGCGCTCGGGTCGGGGGGGGGGGTCAAATTGACCCTCTTAAAGATTTTTCTGGAGCAGTTTCCGAACGACGCGGCGTAGCCGCACCAAATTTTGCACAGCTGTAGACAGTTAAATAGCGGATCGTCTGGAATCAAAATTTAGATTCACCTTGTAAGGTCACTGACCTATGGCAGGTGAAAGTCAGGCCACGGTTTCAGCGAAGGCAATTTCTAGGGAATTGTCCGATCTGATGCAACAACAGAGTGTTAGATAAAGCCATACATCTATGAGACGCTTTATTAGGTAACACAAATATTGGACGAGAGAATTACGTTGTCCTAAGGTCAGGTTTAAAGGTCAGACCAAGGTCAAAACCAACATATTTTATTACTTCAGGGCTTGCTGTATGGGATAGTTTCTGCTGCTCATTTTGAATTTATTGATGACAGGAACCGCATTATAAGTCATCCATGGACTTCTTAGAGGTCAGAATAGATCGTTGACCTACAATGACCCATGTCGACATTTCGTTTTTAGTAACATACCGCCTAGCGTAACCTTTGTCGCTTTTTTAAATGCAAAACTCAGATCAGTCTTGTATGACTTTGGTCACCATGACCTTTCAAAAGGTCAAATAATGTGACTGACCCGAAATGAACATGTGACCTTTTGCTTACAAACAGTTATCTAGGTTCTGGGGGCACTTTGGAGACTGACCCGGAATTTGACCTTGTTTGACCTTATTTGACCCGAAGGTCATGACATAGGAACCTAAAACTTTGACCTAAGGGAGTTCACATACAGGTTAACACATTATGCAAATTTGGTGCCTCTCCCTATCTTAGTTCCCGAGATCTCAGGGGAGATCAAATTGACCCCCCCACCCCCATCCGAGCGAAGGGTATCTGGCCGGTCACCCGCGTTGAATTGTGATATACCCCCACCGCGAGCGAAGGGTATCTAGCCGGGCGCGTATTGAATTATCACACTGCAGGATAATGAACCAAATGAAAATGAAAACAAAATAGGGCGTAGAGTGGCGCAACACCCGGCTCTCGGGGCTGGGCGTCAACTCTCCAAGCTCCCGGAGCAGTCCCTGGGCGTGCTCGCCGCCGCCAGCCGGGATGCATTCTGTCAGCTAGGCAGCACCCTAGCGCATTGGCACAGGTTTGCGCCCTACGCACGTTTATCGTGCCCAGGCTCACGCACCGTCTGCGGTCTGCCGTCCTGACCAAGACCTGTTCTCCTGCCTTTGACACAGCGCTGCGGTGGCGCTGCACATCTAGGCTGACGAATTCACAGCCTTTGGCAACTTCCACCGCACTGAGAGGCACCATTGAAGCTCGAGTGCATACTTTGGCCAATAGATGGACATAGCGGCTCATCGCTCAATAACATTTGCTTGTTCTCTCGTCCACATAGCCTGTTTGCAACCAACGTAAGCAATTAGTTACCTTTCCATGCACGCAAAGGACGTGCTTGTGCAGAAGTACATCAAGAGAGGGAATGCGACTAACAATATTCATACAAAATGGTGAATTGGCTGAAGGGGTGAAAGATATCAAAATTCTTGATACAAATTGAGCGCTAAAATGGCTAAGAAGAATATTTCTATAAATTATTTACCGCATTAAATGCTACATTTAGTTGATATAAAAGCTTCACTTTACTGGTATTGCGTGAATAGTTTCTAATACGTCATCAAAAGTGTTATGAACATATTTATTCACAGCGGATGCGGTTTCTCTGTCCTCCCATTTCCGGTCGGATTGTTCGGGCCTGCCGTCAGCCATTTTTCTGGAGAGTGGGGAGAGGAGGGGGTCGAATGAATGGGTAGATATCGCTGACAACTTCAGTTGCTGACCAATTACAGCAACATAAGCTGGGAAACATTTAACATTCCTGGCAGCACGCAGATAACATGGCCGGGGAGCTGGCAACTGGGTACGGCAGTTGTCCTGGGGTTGTAGTCGAATTGGTTATCTGAGGCGTGCAGAGAGGAAACTTGCACTCTATATATCAGTGTTGTGTTTGGATAAGATGTCGCGCTTAGAAGTGTTTTGGTAACTGAATCAATTGGAAAGTGGAGCTGGCTTTTGCTCCGGGGAGCAGGGAACTGTGCGGCGAGCGTCTCGCCGTAATTGTCGAAGGCACGTCCGGCTGAAACAGCTGACTGAGAATGGTAAGTATTTTAGCCTGATGTTAAATATGACCGGTGAGATATCTTGATATAATTCATTTGGAATGGAATAATCTGATCCGTAAATAACTATTTTAGTGAACTCTGCGGTTAAAATAGACAGGTAATGTCATGGGATACCTGGACAGCTTTTTATCGGTTTTTGATTTGAGTTTGGCTATTGCCATATGAACTCCATGTTATGTCATGCTGAAGACAATGGAAAATATACATTTTTGAAGTGTTAAATATGATTGTGTCTTTTATCTTAACATTTGGTCAGGTTTTGTCATACATGCAATTGATCCAAGTGGTATGCATGGGTTGTTCTGACTGCAAAAATTCAGATTTCAAGGTAAGCAATTTTGCCATTTGAAAATCAGTTTCAGGATATGTTCAGTCACAAAGCAAGCAACATTCAGGCATGATACGCAGACATTGCATGTGCATTAAAGAACCATTGCAGGCAGTACACCTTGGAAACCAATTAACAATATAGCCATTGCAAGGTATATTGTCACAAATGGATTTTTAATTATGGTACTTGACTGTTAATCAGTACAGGGGCTCAGCTTTAGTCCAACTCTGGCTAATTCTATTCTTGAATTGTGCACTCCAGCATTTCTGATAGCAAGGTACCATTTTTTGTACCTGATTTTTTTATTTGGCTTATTTATCTTGAATGCAGGTAGGTCACCTGAGGTACATTACATACAATACCAACCAGGTAGTGTTTTAGCACCAATTATCAAAAAATATAACATGTGCATTCTAGTCATTTTTTAGAGTGCCTTTGATCACTAGCCTGGATAGTACTCAGAAGCGACATTTTCAGTTGAGGATCAGACCTCTATGCACCATGTGAAAGCATAGCTTAAAGTTGTCATCATACCCTCTGATAGTAACGTTCCAACTCCGCAGAAGGAATGAGTGTTTCCTGTCTATTTGGTGCTTCTACATTGGTACAGCTATAGTGTGGTTTTTCAACATTTTAACTGTTGTTCACAAATTTGTTCATGGTGAATGATGTTTGAACTAAAGATATATTGTCATGGCAATGAGTTTTGGTCAGTTGTAGGCTCTGGGTAACAAATCCTATGTTTACAGCCTCGTATTGATCCGCTACTTCTTTTGAAAACATTGAGTGTTCTGCTTGGTCCTGATGGTGGCATCAAAGAGTCAGAAGATGTGCAGAGGGTTGTCAAGTAAGTCCCATATGTCCTATGCTGCACCTGCATGTTTGATGTATAATTACATATTATCATTGCCATATCTGTTCAGGTAACATGCTCCTCAGAGAGCAAGAATGGTGGTGGAATCTGCCATCCTAAAGGAGAAAATTATGCCGTGGCATCTTCTGTACTGAGCCACACTGACTAAGGAGAGTTAGTGCAGCCAAGGAGTTGATGAGATATGCTGAGGCAGTGGCACCACCATCATTCATGTCATGTGCAGCTCTTGTAATTAGAGCTGCTTAAATATGTGATTTGAGCTAAAAATGTGTTGGCTTTAACTTGTGTAAGATGACAAAAGAAAAGATTGGAGGCAGTCATATGAAAAACTTGGCATTAGCCCATCAGCAGGTGGAGGAATAAGGCTGGCAGGGAGGGATGGAGGAAGCAGATAAGTGGGTCCAATTGTGATGCTGACCTACCTGTGTCAATTGAAGCAGTTATCTTTGAACATGTAGCTACCACACTGGGTTGTTGCAGTTGTTGGTTGTATGCCAGAGGTATGAGTGGGTAACTGAGAGGTAAAATGATTGGCTGGGTGTTACTTTGGATGCAGAAGTCTGTTGCTGCTAGGCGAGAAGAATCTCGTCTTGCGGTTTGGCCCATCCACACATGCAGGCACGCTGCATGTCCAGATGAGTGGTCAGCTTACTCCAGTGGGGTTGGGAAAGTGGTTGTATCTTTGTGTGTTTGGAGCCATGATGACATATATTATTTAGACATAGACATATTTAGACATACTATGTTAGATATTAGACATATAGACATATTAGACATATTTAGACATAGACACATATTATAAGAGGGGACTATGTTGCAGGAGAACTGGCCCCTGACTTTTTATGTTGCCATGCCACATAGTATGGAGCCAACCTCAAGATAAGGCTCTTCTCATCAAAAACCAGCACCTAGATAATAATGAAAAGTAACAGCTGGTTGATCATTAGTACATGAAGTTACCACCCCATTGTGGCACACCACTTACTGCATCTGTGGTCACAACAGTCATGTGATGGCCGCACATTAAAAAGGCAACACTTCAAATGGACTGGGTCTGTGCTATTGTCAGACCTGCTTGCTCGCTTCTACAAACTTGCTTGTCCAGCATTGCTCCTCCATCAAAAGATGGGCAAAGCTGGAAAATTTTGTCAGCAGTTTTTGTCAGTGTTGTCATTGCCTCTCACATTAAGTTTAAGATAAGGCATGATTGTGACAACTTTTTACTTTTTCTTAGGCTTAACATGGAATATGTGCCTTGCCTTCTCATTGATCAGGTTGATACTTTTCCAGCAACTGTTGTGCTTGTTGGAGACAGTTCTGAACACATCAACCATTGCCTGTTTCAGTTTGATGATAAGATTTTCCAAGAAGCTTGTGAGCAAGTGCATATACATTCAGATTCTTCTAGCCACCAAGGAGCACCTCCTAGATGAGTAAGTTTCACTGTTACTCTGGCCAGTTGTTTTAGCTTCAGCTTAGCCAGCATATGGTGCTTTGACAGGTCACCTTTTTATCCCGACCTTTTCTTTGTAGCGATTTTTCATAGTTCTCCATTGTTGTCACTGCAGGGCCTGCCCATACCTTGCTTTCATTTTGTTGCTAAGTGTGAGGCCACAGCTGGGGCACAGGAGGCTGTCCATCTTCACCTCATTTAGTTGTATTTTGTTCAAACATGCTGCACCACATCATTTCTATGCTAACTTTGCTCTACAGAGTGCTCTCAGATAAGGTTTACACCTTGATGATTGCCTTATAATGACATTTCTAACATACTCACCTAAAAATTAATGTGTGTTTTACGAAAGATTGTGTTTTAAGTGCTTACATATTTCAACATGGACATTGCACATTCATATGTTTGAGTAGGGTTTTTCTGTAGGCACCAATGCTGTGGAAACATTTTGTACATTACACATGCTGAGTACATAGTGCAAAGCTTGATTGCGTGTGGTGGGTATACCACCAAAGTAAATGCATGTTAGTGAAGCTGGTTTACACTGCAGTTGGTTCATGTTTAAGCTATGAATGTTTGTTTTTTGGTCGTGGTAGACATGTGGCATGCTCATTTCAGCTTCTACAATCATGGTGGCTGGGAGCTAGTGACGGGCTGGTTCGGTGACGCCTGCGACCGCGAGAACTGGCGCCTGCTTGAGGACATCATGCGCCTGTTCAGGGCCAGCCCGGTTACAGTAGAACGCCTCAAGATGAACCATTGTCCCAAGCAGGTGAAGCATCTCAGCAAGGAAGCACAGTGCGATGGTAAGTCCGCTGCAGGATCGCCTTAAGTTCTAGGGTGCTGTTTGCTGGGGGTGTGACTTGTCGCAAAATAGAGGCATGCTTATGATTCTATATGATGCATTTTAAGTGTGAGAATGCCACGCGTTGCCCGTGGTCGGTTGCAGTTTCCGCGCGAAGGATCCAGTAACGTCAGAGAGCGTGACGGACCGTGCCAAACATTGTGGCACATCAAGCTTTCGCCGCCAAAGTCTGCCCTTGACCTGGAATCGCACAATCGAATGGGAGGGGTTAGAGCTTGCACGACAAGCGTTGCTTGCTATGTAATCTGATCCCATGGGTCCATCGAGTCAAAAGGTTTAGGTGAAATATTCAAATAGGGATCATAATAGACGTTTTTTGTTGAGATCACGTCGGGATTGTCTGAGATGCTTCCCAAGGTAGTTGTCCTTTGCGCCAGTTGTATCGTGCCATTTTAGGTGATAGTCGTGAATCGGGGTGACGTTACCCTGAACCTGTGTTATATTTCCAACCATCGTTGTTAAACTTCTTAAAAGTTTGAAATCCCAGTAGGGACCATGACGACTCCAAGGAGTATTTAAGAAGAATATTTCGCCATTAAAGGCTGTCATAAAGGACAGAACATAGGAAAAGAGTTTACGCTGTCCATGATCATGCTATTGTTAAAAATGACTGGAGATGTATATTCTGAAAGAAAAGGTTAAGTCTGCTACCGTCATGCTGAGCATGGCGGCACATCCAGCCAGTCACCAACAGCGGCGTGGTTATTAGGGGGGGGGGGGGGGGGGGATATTGGCTCTGTTCCTGGCCGCATGATACTCCTTGGTCACATAACATCTAGATATTAATCGGCCAACCCAGCCCCCACCAAAGATAGTTGGTAATAGCGTGACCTCACGGCGTGCTACTACTGCTGACGAATGTGGGCACCGTGTGTTAAATATGCGAACTTGTGAAACCAGTTAAGTCCTTGGTATCCTGAATATTCAAGTGAAAGTGATACTATAATTGGGATTATTTAGTTGGCGCTCGCAGACCTATTTATGGATTTCCTGACAACCGACCATAACTCACTCGGCGTACCGAAGTAATCCAAAATGCGTGCTACGCCACGAATTTTCCGACTCCCGATCCGCACGGCGCTGTCACTACAAAGCTGTTAGTAGCGCGTTATGTCCTTAAATGAATACCGCTTTCGAGCCCGGGCGGATCTCTAAAATTTAATATCGCGTTTCACTAGCATGCTCAACTTTTTCGCGAACGAATGATTAGTGCTGTCTGCATGTGTCTTGCACTTTGCCTTGAGGAATTTCCCTGGAAATTTATGACATAGCACATACCTGAGTTGGAAATGAATCCACAGATGAAACGCTCTCAGCACGAGCCTCCATTTACAGGCTGCTTAGTGCCCTGTCGAGAGTAAAGTTTTAGCACAATTCGTGATAAGTGAGGTCCCGTCTCAAACTTAAGTTATCCTGCTGAACTTCGTTCTATGGTTTTCTAAGCATTGCCTAGGAGCAGTCCACCGATTTATTGCATGCAAGCCCAGGCACTAAAGTGACCTGAGATATATGATCGCAAGTACCTGAGTCACGAATCGACCAATCGAAAATCTGTACAGATGTCGAACGTGCCCTGAAACCATGAAGGCGGCATGTTCGTAACTCGGAAGTGTTTTCTTAAAGCCGGGTTTAAATGAAGCTGATCACGTATTCCGGCGACGAGGCATGATTTCCACGCAGGGATGTGATGTCAGTGACACTTATGGGCGTCAGGACGGTAGGGGCGGATACAGGGATGCACTGCCGTTGTGCTTGCTCTGCCGTTACGGTTTACCGCCTACGTGCGCCGCCCTCGTCGTTTGTATTATCGCCAGTGTTCTATTTGAATGGGACCCAAAACCAAGCTTGTCTAGGCATGCACGAATGGAAGGCTTCAGATCCAACGGCCCGCCCCAGTCTGGTTGGGTTACGTGTTCCCAATTCACATGTTAGTTTGACCCAAAAGACCATGGCACCCGGCCATGTTTTATCATGGACTGTTATTTCCCCAGTCTAATGTCTGGTCTACGTTATTCCAAGTCGGGGATAGTGAGCTCTACCTCATAAGTTTGGAACGCGGCAGTCAATCTGCTTACTTCAGGCTCATTTGTTGCATCACACGGACAGGTGGTCGGTTGAAGGGTGGCGGTTCGCCAAGCCAGATGATAACCGTGATGCTAAGCCTCTTATCTCGGTTGTTTTGGCAGCGGGAGTATGCTTTGCTTCGTCGCCATTTTCACCTTCTGCACTTTTTTCATGCTTGTTTATGACAATGCAATGTCAATAGATTCATGTCATCCGATTTCAGTGTCGTAGTAGAACGGTACTTGTAGATCGGTACTGCTTTAGCGTAGGCCTGGAGTTCTGGCTCTGGCCTCGGCTCCATGTGGCCTTGAACAGCTTGTTTCGCCTTTGTCGTGGCTATTTTACACTGCAGTTACAACCTTTTTCACAAAAGCGCTCTTGCCCTCCCTGTCACTCCAATACATTACGTAACTGGTCGAGGCTGTGACATGTACTTGGCTGACAGGGAAAACCACACGGCCATTCCCTGCACCGATCAGCACATGACGGCTGCAGATACGCTGTATGCATACTGGCTTACAAGGCGGGGACGATAGTCGAAAGCCACGCCCTCCGTAATCTGAACACCTGGTCTAAATCACTCGGTAAAACCAGCATGACAGATTTTGATTCGTGCGGTTTCAGCAGATGTATAATATTTCCAGTTTGTCAAAGTGATGTTGCACACTGGATTCGGACTTGCCCTCGCCTTTGCGAAGTTTAAAGCCGCTAACCTTGGCGTCGGCTTCATACCATTGTCGCGCTTCGCCTTTGGCATCGAAGCCAGAAGGCTGGCGTTGTAGCCATGGTGGTAATGGACAGATCAGCTGATAAACGCGTACTGTTATTGATCACTGAAGTTAATGTGCACATGACTGCGACTGTATCTGCGGTTTTAAAGCTTTGAAAGTAGCTGTGCTTTTTCCCCTGATTCATAAGGAGTGGAGCCGTTGCTTCGTACTCTGCATGATTCTCGCCTGTAAATAGTTTACCTGGCCGAGCATAGCTGGAACTCCGTAGGCGTTGGCAGGGGCCCTGGGCCTTCATTCCCTCAATAGCACCATTAGCATGGCTGGCGGCGCTGGCCGCGACCGCAGGCTCCGCGGGGAGCCTCTTGTGAGCGGGCATGGCGCTTGTGGCACTGCACAGATCCACTTAGGCAGAACGAGCTGCTGAGGAATTTTTGCAGGTCGGGGCGCAGCCATGTTTGGGCAGCGTGGGTAGCGAGCATTCTTATGTTATCGATGTGGTGCTGTATAGCATTATGTTGAATTATGTAGCATGCAGCATATCAATAACATGATTTGATGTTACATTTTCGGCTCAGCCAGCCAAGTACCACCAGGCAGCAGTTACTCATGTCAATAACACTTGGCAGCATCAAACAGAGACAGGTCCTTAACAATGCTGCCCAATTTGCTGGTTTTGAAAGGACTTCAGACTGCTTGCGAACAGTGCTACGTCATACATCACGCGTTAAAACGTTTATATTGACCCTTTCTTCTTGAGGTTAGCTGGAATTAATCGCACGAATGCCAGAACTACCGCAGCACACCAATAAACATACTAATATCGAATTAAAGTGATAAATCTGTCGGGCAAATCCATTTCATAACAAAACAACTGTTAAGGCTAGTTTACCGATAATTTCATGTCATTGGCTACGTCGGGGCCGATGAAATCATATTAAGCAATTCATTGGTACGTTAGCTGTGCTGCGAGTGGTATTGCCAACGACATCACTCATTTGACGCTAGACGCTGACGCTGTGTGTGTATTGGGACCTTCGTCAGTTTCTCATGCATGGGCTTGTGCTGACGCCTGCGCTGAGCCCAGCTGACCTGAAACATGAGGTGCTGGTAAGCGGCTTAGCATGCGGTATAGAACCAATGCTGCTCACAAGAAGTCCGTAATCCTTGCGGAAACACCCGATTGGTGAGCGTACGCCTCACCTTCGGTCCGCCTGCTACACTGCCTCACTCGATTAGTGTTGACCTAATGGGACTTGATTGGTGTTAGCGGAGCCAAACACGTCCCCAAAAATTTCCAATATTTTTTCTTCAGGCCAAACCTTGCTCAATAAATTCAAACAGGCGCAGCAGCATAGTGGTAGTCGAGCGGCGTCACGGGGCCGAGTAACTCAGAGCCGCCTCTGACTGTCGGCCGCCGCCAGGAGACGGCTTGGAGGCCCGGAGTAGCGGCGGGCGCGTGGCCCGTCTCAGCTGGCAGATCGGACGGTGTGGGCGGTGGGTCGGGGGCTTTCTAGCGGCGATGATTGCTATTGTTACGAAAGGCGCCCAGATCGAAGCGTTTCGCCTTTGTGCCAACCCACTCATCACATCATGTACCGCATCATGCCCAAAGTCGTAAAAAACGCAATTTTTGACGTCTGATCAGAATGATCGCTCTCCATTATGCTCACACATTCGTCGCACTCACATCGCACACTCACCACCCTCTCACTCACCGTGTTTTTAAAAGATTAGTCTGAAGCGTTTTATGGGGTGAAGATTCTGGGGCGAGTGCCCACACCAAGCAGCGCCTGTGGCGTGAGTCTCGACCCCACCATCCCGTAGTGATAGCACGGATTAGGAGCAGAATTTTGCGGTGAAAGTCTCGCTATGCCGCCGTGCTCGGCGCCGTCTGTGCTGCACTCTGATGTCACCTGACCTTACCACGGCAGCTGCAACTGACCGCATGCCATCTCAGTCAAGGGCAAATAGAGGGCGTCCGAGGCGACTGCCCGCCGCGCCACGGATGAGTGAACCGGAAGGCCCCAAACTATTTGAGCTGGCGGGACGGGTGGAAAAGTGGCCAAAAATGGAAATGGAGCTGTTGGAAAAATGGCCAACCTGGCTAAGTTTGTTGATAGTTTTGCGCACCGTGCGTAACATTGAT